AATAATAAGGATGAAGTTTTTGAAAACACAGATTTTGGGCCTCTAACTCCTAGATTTCAACAAACTAACCACCCACTTCTGTGATCGACATTCTATAAATAGAAGCTTCTACCAATACTTCCACTTCTTTTCCGAAAACATCAAAAAAGGGACAGAGATCCCAAAGACCAAAACAAAGTGCAGTCAAAAATAAAAAAATAAGCAAGCTTGAAGGAGTCACAGAAACAAAGGTAGCAATTTTCAGTCAGAACATTTAATTTTTTGTTAGTATCAGATATCTTAATAGCATAGAAGGTTGTAATATATAAGAAGGTATAATAAGTCACTCGAGCTCATAATAAGTCTATTCATTTGCTTGTTAGCATCACTCTGTTGGTTGGCTGTGCTCTTTGACCATTAAGAGGAAACACTGAGCATACAAATGCTGAATTAAAAAAAAAAAATCCAAAACCTCATACGTGTGCATGTCAAAAAGCACATGGCTTCCTACAGGAGAGAGGACTAAATTTCCTAATTCTGTCATTAAGAATTGGTGCAGAAACAGGTTTTATAGGTGCTAACATAGTAACCTATTAGATGTTTGCAGGCAAATGGAAAATAGTCCCACAGTGATTTGCCTATGATGGCAACAGGCATTAGCTCTGTGGTATGTTCTTTAAAAAGCCATTTATATGCATTCCCTTACCACGAGGGAACTGTAGCCCCATGACAGGTCAGCACTAAACCTCCTACTCCCCCAAAAACAATACACATATGGAAGACTCACACACCTAAAGTCATCTTCTCTTCTCACAACAATTACCACTTCTAAAAAGTGAAGCATCTCTAACAAGTACAAAGAAATCTAAATAGTGCAGGCACATAAGGAGTTCCATTTCATGCTTCTGAGCATGAAGTTAAGACCAAATAACATGGTGAAGGCGGCAAACAATGCATCTTATTGAGAGGGTCCTGAACAGCCCCATTAACCTGCAGCTTTTCTGCAAGGAGAGAGTGCGGAAAAGTTCTGTTTAGCACCTTTGTGCAACAATTAACTCTCCAACACTGAAGGGCAGCCAAGGTTTCAGGAAGCTCTCTAGATCTTAAGGGGAACAACCAAAAAGGAAACAGTGAGCTTGGGCAAGGCAACCAAAGGGGTTTACTTATGACTGTGGAGGAATGCAGAGGAGGAAGAGACATTGCCCAAAATACCGGGTGTGGGGGTAGAACATGGAACTGTCACATATGACACACTTGGGAGAGCATGCAGGGAACCACTACTGTATATGCCAGCCCAGGGAAGAGTGTAACCATCTAGAATTGTACTCATGCTCGAGCAAAGATAGGCAGTTGTGTTTTAAATGGTTAGTTTACGTTTAGCTCATGTCAGAGACTGCCTGAAAGCTACTAGTGGTTTAACTCCTGAGAATTTCCAACATGCAAGCAGTATCAGATGTCAGCTAATCGAAGATCTCTCCACACATTCTTTTCTGTACTTCAGAATCCTTATTAGCTTAAAAATTCATCTTACTACAGATTTAATTTGAACTACTTCATTTACAGCTCTGTTTTGCACTAAAAAAGTGTTTTGAAGAAAATCCACACCTGTTAGATTAATAAAAATTTTTATGATAGAAATGACAAATAAAAGATCATTATACTCATATTTTAGACAGATCCTCCTTTCTACCATAGAAAGTGAAACAAGATGTGAAGCACACAGTTAACATGAGGAAAAGTACTTAGTGAAAATCTTAATTTCCTGTACCAATATGAAATTTCTGAAGCTGGAAATTTTCTAACACTGAAGTAGATTTATGATGCTCAAGTGTGGCAATGTACTTCCTTCCCCACACACACTGTATGGTTCTTTAAGACTTCGGAAATTCAGTCCTTAATGTCATGGTGCAAGGAACTTGAACTATGCACTAAATGTCACAATTATCTGCAGTTTATCAGTATTACCAGACTAATTCCAAATTAGAGTCAGTTACGCTACACTGGAGTATACTCCAACATGTAACTGACAGAACTGGTGCTGGACCAAGAGATTTTAGATGTCTCTTCAAGGTACAGCAGCACTCTGAGGCTGCAGCAAGAGGATGACTTCAGCCATCTGCAGAGCTGTAAAGGTACTCGACATCAGGTTCAAGTGAGGGAAGGTTTTTCCTGCTGCAAGGTCAGTGCAAAGGAGTAAAACGCTCAGGTCTGACCTAGGCAAATGCTATAATTTTTATCACCAAGTCTAATAGTTGTGAAGCAAGAAAAAAAGTCCAGCATTAACTGCTCTTACTCACTCCATAAATTGGTGGAAGAGCTAGGAACAGAAGCCAGGCACAGTTTAGTATACTCTCTGTCTACTGGATTGGAGGAGCCATTTCTTCCAACCCACGAGTAATTTGATTCCAACAAATGAGGGAAGAGAGCAAGAAACTGCAGAGGAGCCAGCTTTGGCTACATTCCGCAAGTCACACACATTCTCTTAATTGGTTTCCTCCCTTCGACACTGAAGTTAGGACACCAGTCACTTCCATGCTCAGCTGTGATGTAACACTCCAGGGTATTAAATATTACTTAAGAGGCTAGCAGGCAACTGAAGACACAACAACAGCTCAAACAGTTTCACAGTCTTAATAAAAGAGACAAAAGCTTCCGAGATGCTTTTGTACTGTAATTGATAAGGCTTGTGACTGAAACCTTTGAAAGTTTGTTAACACGTCAAGTCTTATTAACAGTATACTTCACACCAATCAAGACTTGGTAAGCCTTATTTTTCACTCCTGTGAACAGTTATAGACTGAACAACTATGCTGTACAAAACTTACAGAGGATCTTCTGGGAAAAAAATATAAAAAACCTGCAACCAACCCAACCCTAGTTCTATATTTGCATGTAGCATTGTGTAAATAATAACTGTGTTCATAAAATATGTTATCACAAATTTTTTTTTCTCTCTTAAAGCAAAGCGGAGTCAAATAAAGCAACAGTCAGTCATGTTTCTAGATGAGTAAGAACATAAGTGAACAGGATATTCCAAAAAAGAAAACCAGAATGCATGTTCAAATATAAAACTAATTCTTGAGTGCAGTTGACAATGTCAAAAGTAGTGCATGCCATTTGAAAACATTTTTAAATTCTCTTCCTTGAATTGAAAATAAAAGTGTTTATTTTTTCTTTTTAAATCTAAGTATAGAAAAAAGTAGGTTTATTACTGCTAATCACTGCCTAAGGCATTGGTTCTTCTGGACAGTAATTTTTTCCTTAATCTATTAAGAAAACTTAGACTGGCAACACCGAAGATTAATAACATATTAACTTCCTAAAAGTAGCAGGTCAAAGAATAATAATTTCTTTGAATAATGTATGTATCTCTCATTAAACACAAAGAGAAATTTTGAGATTCGGAAGATTAACAAGATTCCACACCTGTGTTCCACCCCTCCCAGATACTTCAGCTGCTGCAGCAAACTCAAAAGCTGGGGTTTTGTTTCCGTTTTTGTGTTTAGCATGCACAATAACAACCAGCTTCACCTCAATCTAGTTTCCATTAACAGAAAAAAAAACATAACTGCAACCACTAAGTTCTTCTAAAAGGGGTTTTTCTAAGCATAATGACTTAATTAAAATTATTTCTTAAGCCCAAACAGGTCACTCTGAACTCGAAAGCATCCAGTTCAGAGGACTCTCCCAATAATAGAATAAATTAATTTAAAAAAGAGAAATAACAAGAAATTAGACCACCAGATTCGGATCCTTATTTCTCTTGCTGAAACAGATGAGCCACCACTTAATACCACAAGAACTACCTTCCTCTTGTGCGAGTTCGGCATTTCCATTTTCCCAGTAAAAGTTTGAGAGTTATCCTTACACAAGGTAACAAAACATAGGAAAGTGGGTGTGTTACAACAACCATGGAAGCCAGCCTAAACTGGAAACCAAGACTCAGAATTATCCATGCTGACTTTTACACACCCTTGGAGAACCAGTCTTCTAGAAGTGATCACCGCCCATGTCATTTAGTTATCTTTACATAGCAAGCAAAATTTATGCTACTCATTGCTCTTAATTTTCATTTGACATCAGATCTTCAAGCACATATTTAGCTATTCAACACTTCTCTCATATTGCATGCCATTCTGTCACCTCCAGGTCCGTGATCCTTTGTCACGTATGCGATGACACGCCAGCGGGGTCCACAGTCCAGTGGACAATTCTATTGCTGACACAGTAACATCTACTTCACAGGACTGGACACCCGTTAATCGTGTGCTCGCCAAAGCATCACAGGCATATGCAGTTTGAAAAAACCAAAAACCAAAAAACACAAACCACAAAACATGGCAATCTGGAATAAGCATTTGGAAGAGGTTGGGATTTCATAAACCGGTCTCCTAGAGAAAATACAGGGCTGTTTGCTGGGTACATGCACGTTTTAACAGAACGACAAGCCACAGAAAATGCCTAACTTGAACACCCTTTTAGTTTGCTACTAACAATTTTAAGTTTAAGAGGGTATCACAGGATTTCTACTGCCTCTTCCTGCAGACAGTTTTCTGCATGGCTGAGTCATAACTAACATTACATCATCTTACCCAGGGAGGGGCACAATTTCCGTAGAGTAAGAACTACCTCTTACAACTAGAGCAGCATATTAAAGCTGCAAAAATCAAAGCAATCTAGGATATAAACTGAGGGGGAAGGGCAGAGCAGGAAACCCAAACTAAATCTCTATCTACTTCAGTCTCAAAGAAATATGTTGATTTTTTATAACTACTACTTTACATGCAACAATGTTTCAACATGTCTCCAAATTCATTAGCATTCAGAACTACAATGACTTGTATATAAATAATCAACACATTAGAGAAAAAGAAAGTCAGGCATTTTTTAAACTTTATCCTTCGGAAAAAGCCTAGGAGACCACAGCTTTACTGACAGACTAGAAGCAGTCCCAGAGGGCCCGACACCATTTACCCTGCAACTCTAAGTAAAAATGGATCAACAGTTTCATTATATCTCACCAGCACATCATTGCAGATGTCTCTTAGCTCAGTCTCAATTTTCTCTCTGTATTCTCGAGCCATCTGCTGTTTTTTCTCAGCGCCTTCCGTCTTTTGTTCAATACTTGAGACGACTCTCCAAGATGACCTACGGGCTCCTACAACATTTTTATAGGCAACAGAGAGAAGATTCCTCTCTTCGTTGGACAACTCAGCTCCTTGCTCAGTCACAGACTTCATGCAACTTGCCATGTCATCATATCTTTCAGCCTGCTCAGCCAGTTTGGCCTTCTGCACCAGCTCATTTTTATCCATGCTGATATTTCTAAAGAGGAAAAATAGTGAGGCGTTATTCAGACATTGACCAAGGACAAAGATGTTTTAACTTCATATGCACAGCAACCATTCTCTAAGTAGTCTGGAACTGTAAGAGGTACAGCTGAAATCCAGAACACAAGGCTCAAACACATGCAAACATGCACTGAAGAGTTAAGCCACTGCTTCCTCCTGAAAAATTGTTAACTTTTAAAAGCACGTTATTGTTTTAACAAATGCAAACAAAGACATCCAAAGGTGAACTGAAACCACATCATTCCTATCTTACATACATAAACGATCCTTGTTCTTTGCCATCACTCTCTCATAGGACTACCTTCAAGCTGCAGCACCAACTGCATCCAATTATCAGTGTAAGAAAAATGACAAAGGAAATATCTAATATTGAGTTTTTTCACAGGACAAGGCCAAATAAAGGCTAGGCAAATACTATCAGGCAACTCTTTGCGCCTTAACAGAATCTTACAGGTACAAGCAGAAAGACCTGGCATAGAGGTCGGCAAATCAAATCCCACACTGGACATTAGAGAGTCAGAAAGTATCAAATACGTAAATGCCAAGGTGTACACCCTTCAACAATGCTAACTTCCATTCCCAAAATGAGATACATCTGAGCCAGGTACTGCTGCTCAGCCCCTCCAAGATGATATGCTTTCAGAGACAAAAGGAAATTTTACTATTTAAAAATATTACTTCCACGTCAGCATTTGAGATAGCACGACCTGGGTGAGATGCCTCATAACCCACATCTCATCAGAACAGAGGTATTGGGGGTGGTTTTTTTAGTACATCAGGAAAGACGTACTCCTCCCTCACCCCCCATCCTTTTATGTCTCTTGACTTGATCATTCTGAGGGCCCGGCAATGTGCATTGGGATGCACCATTCCTTAAAGTTTGACCATATCATTAAATTAAGAACCAGTTTTTGTTATGGAGCTTTATGCTCCATACACAAGAACCCAGCATCTCAACCTTTAACCATCAACCTTTTTGTCATTTTACATGAAGTTACCACAAACAATAGCAGCACTGTCTTCCATTCGGGAATAAATTAAGCACGTTTTAACATTCTGGTCACCCGAAAGGGAAACTTTTAGTAGCTCCTATCCCAAAACCGGGGCCACAAACCCAGCAGCTGGTTCCGCAGCGTTTGCGAACGTGCGTCGAAAACTTGACTGCACGGCGAACAGCGGGCTGAAGGAGCCATTTTAAAGC